AGTTTTGTGATCTCTTATAAATTATGTCCCTGGAAACACTGATGGTAGCTACTGTGCAGCTAAAGGATAACTACACTTGCTGGAATACATGAAGTGCCCGGGTCTGGTTTCCAAGTGGGAGTTATATTAGCATATTATGCATGTAGTATTTGATAGTGTGCAATACTATGTAAGTCTTATTAAGTTGAAATTAAAGGAGGAAAAAGCTTTTTTTGGTGGAAGGAACTTGGATCTCTTGCTCTGTTCCTTTTAATGGCAAGACAATGATAAAACCCCATGTCGTCCTGTTTGTTTCCTGAAAACGACTTCGGATAGAAAGATGGATCAATAAGATGTAAATCAGGGGGAGCTTCTTGGGGATGGTGAAGTCTGGCAATATACTTCATAAAATGGTTTGGGTTGGAAGGGACCTTGAAGGTCATCTAGTTCCAACCCCTCTGCCAGGGGCAGGGACACCTTCCACCAGACCAGGTTGCTCCCAGCCCCGTCCAACCTGGCCTTGAACCCTTCCAGGGAGGGGGCAGCCACAGCTGCTCTGGGCAACCTGTGCCAGTGTCTCACTGCCCTCACAGTAAAGAATTTCTTCCTTACATCTAATCTAAACCTTCCCTCTTTCAGTTTAAAGCCATTACCCCTTGTACTGACACTACATGCCCTTGTAAAAAGTCCCCTCTCTGGTTTACTTGTAGGCCCCATTCAAGTACTGGAAGGCTGCATTAAGGTTTCTCTGGAACTTTCTCTTCTCCAGGCTGAACAACCCCAGCACTCTCGGCCTGTACTCATGGGAGAGGTGCTTCAGCCCTCATCATCTTTGTGGAGAGGTCCATGTCCTTCTCAGGCTGAGGGCCCCGAAGCTGAACACAGTACTCTAGGCGTGGTCTCACGAGAGTGGAGTAGAGGGAGAGAATCACCACTCTTAACCTGCTGGTCATGCTTCTTTTGGTGCAGCCAAGGATACGGCCGGCTTTCTGGCATGCAAGCACACATTGTTGGGTTTTGTGGAGCTTCTCGTCAACCAACACCCCCAAGTCCTTCTCCACACAGGGCTGCTCTCAGTGCACTCATTGCCCAGCCTGTATTTGTCTTTGGGATTGCCCCAACCCATGTGCCGGCCTTTGCACTTGGCCTTATTGAACTTCATAATGTCTGCATGGGTCCACTTCTCAAACCTGTCAAGGTCCCTCTGGATGGCACCCCTTCCCTCCAGTGTGTTGACTGCAACACACAGCTTGGTGTCATCGGCAGACTTGCTGAGGGTGCACTCAGTCCCACTGTCCGTGTCACTGACAAAGATGTTAAATGGCACCGATCGCAACACCGACTGCTGAGGAATGCCACTTGTCACTGGTCTCCACTTGGACATCGAGCCATTGACCACAACTCTGAGTGTGACCATCCAGCCAATTCCTTATACACTGAGTGCTCCATCTGTCAAATCCATGTCTCTAATTTAGAGACAATGTTGTTGTGTGGGACAGCATCAAATGCTTTGCATGAGTCCAGATAAATGATGTCACTTGCTCTTTCCTTATCCACCAACACTGCAATCTCATTGTAGAAAACCACCAAATATGTCAGGCACAATTTGCCCTTAATGAAGCCATGTTGGCTGTCACTAATCACCTCCTTACTTTCCATGTGCCCAGCAGAGTTTCCAGGAGGATCCGCTCCATGATCTCACCAGGCACAGAGGTGAGAGTGACTGGTGTATAGTTCCCTGGGTCTTCTTTTTTTCCCTTTTTAAAAATGGGGAGTTATGTTTCCCCTTTTCCAGTTGGTGGGAACTTCACCAGACTGCTACGACTTTTCAAATATGATGAATAGTGACTTAGCCACTTCATCCACCAGTTTCCTCAGGACCTGTGGACGTATCTCATCAGGTCCCATGGATTTACGCAACTTCAGTTTCCTTAGATGGCCTTGAACCTGATCTTCTACAGTGGGCAATTCTTCATTTTCCCAGTCCCTGCCTTTACCTTCTGCATCTTGGGCACTGCGGCTGGAGCACTTGCTGGTGAAGACTGAGGGGGAAAAAAGTTATTGCGTACCTCAGTCTTCTCCATGTCCCAGTTAACCAGGGCTCCTGTTTCCTTCTGCAAAGGGCCCACATTTTCCCTAGTCTTCCTTTTATCACCAGTGTACCTATAGAAGCGTTTTTTTGTTGCCCTTGACATCCCTGGCCAAATTTAATTATGTCAGGGCTTTGGCCTTCCTAACCTGATCCCTGGCTAGTTGGTCAATTTCTCTGTATTCCTCCCAGGCTACCTGTCCTTGCTTCCACCCTCTGTAGGTTTTCTTTTTGTGCTTGAGCTTGTCCAGGAGCTCCTTGTTCATCCATGCAGGCCTCCTGGTGTTTTTGCCTGACTTCCTCTTTGTCAGGATGCATTGCTCCTGAGCTTGGAGGAGGTCATCCTCGAACCATTAACCAGCTTTCCTGGGCCCCTCTTCCCTCCAGGGCTTTATCCGATGCTACTCTGCCAAGCAGATCCCTGAAGAGGCCAAAGCCTGCTCTCCTGAAGTCCAGGGTAGCGAGCTTGCTGCGTGCCCTCCTCACTGCCCTAAGGATCTTGAACTCCATTTCATGGTCACTGCAGTCAAGGCTTAAGCTTCATACTCCCCTCCAGCCCCAAATTGTTGGTGAGAAGGCGGCCCAGCATAGCACCTCTCCTCGTTGGCTCCTCCTTCACTTGGAGAAGGAAGTTATTATCAGTGCATTCCAGGAACCTCCGGGGTTGCTTGTGCCCTGCTGTGTTGTCCCCCCAACAGATACTGGGGTGGTTGAAATCCCCCGTGAGGACCAGGGCTTGTGAATGTGAGGCTGCTCCCATCTGTCTATAGCAGATCCCCACTATAACGTTACCTGTCCCTGCCCTCCCTTTAATCCTGACCCATAAGCTCTTGATCGGCTCCTCACCCATCCCCAGGCAGAGCTCCATGCACTCCAGCTGGTCACTGACATAGAGGGTGATCCCCTCTCCTTGTCCCTCCTCCCTGCCTTTCCTAAGGAGCCCTTGTCCTTCCATTCCAACACTCCAGTCATAGGGAGCCATCCCACCATATGTCTGTGATGCCAGTAAGATTGTAGCCCTGCAGGTGTGCTTGTGTCTCTTAACTCCTCTTGTTTATTCCCCATGCTATGTGTGTTTGCATAGAGGCATTTAAGTTCAGCCCCTGATGGAGCTGACTTACTGCCTGGAACTCCTTTGAGCTGCTCTTCAGGTGCTCTCCTGCTGACCTGTGATCCCTCTCCAGGCTTTGGGCTTCTGTTGCTGGCACTGGCATCAAACTGGTAGGAGTGGGATGGGTTGAGGTTCCCCTCCCCCGGCAGCTTTAGTTTAAAGCCCTCTTCACCACTTAAGAGTGCTTTTTTTTCTTAGGACTGATCTCACCAGGGATCTATTCCTGGAATGATTATCTGAAAAGTATGATGTCTTGTAGCTTTCTTTAAAGTATTAGGTAGGAGTAGTGTACTCACAATTTGCGCCACATGATGACAGAATCCAGACTGCTCCACAAACACACTGCCTGAAAAACTGAGTGGGTTTATCACTGGGCTTAGTCAGTCACAGCTACCTGTTCCTCAAAACACCTAGTTTAGCTGTGTAATTCAGATACCTCTAGACAAACTAAAATATTGTCTAGACTGTTTTCCTCTCAGGGCTGCATGGGTTAATTCTGCAACCTTTGAGATGTGAGAGCAGAAATAGAGGTGTAGGTAGGAGATGCTGTATAAACTAAATTTACTTGCTAAAGAGAAAATGCTGGCTCCAATGCCTGTCAGTGGTAACTTAGAAATTTTCATTCCCCTATTTTGTGCTTCTACAGGGTTTGGCTAAGTAGTATGAACTGTGTGGTTTCATGCTTATTTAGGCGTTACTGAATTTTTCTTATATGAGCCTTTTTCTATACTAACAATGTATTTTCACTTAGTTGTCATGAATCTCTTAAACAATAACAAATCTTTTGAAGTATTTGTTTTATTTCTTAAAGGAAAGATTCTAAGTAATCCTATCCTAATTTTCTTCATTTCATGACTATTCCCTCTTATCTATGATTTTTCCAGTTTCATTGTAATTTATATGCATTTCTGTTAGCTATAAAGGCTCCTTGCTGTTAGATTAAGAAGGTGCACAATGGAATTTACCATTCATGCACTGAAAGTGAGAAGTCTAAGAGCAGCAGTAGCTGAGTACTTGACAGTGGAGAAAAAACAAATATGGCAGAGGTCTTACATGCACATGTTTAGGTGAGCACTTGTAGTTTTCATGTGACTGTTCAAATCGAGATAGATGGGAACAGGGTATTTTTTAGTAGCGAATCATTTTACTCAGCTGAGAGAAGAAGAAAAAGGAAAATAAATCCTGCCCCAGAAAACCTTAGGGTCAGGGATAAGGAGGAAACATGGCAGTTCATGAAGGTGCTCCTCAGTAGGAGAAAATCGAAGAGGATTGCTTGTCTTGCATCAAGCAAAATGAAATAGTCTGCACTGAAGAATGGGAACAAATGAGATATGTGAAAAACTCAAGAGAGTAAGATCCTGGCTTCTGGGAAGGAACCAACTTAAACATTTGTCTATCCTTTTCTCTTTACTTTTATTGGTAGTGATATTTGATCTATTTTGGTTTTAACAGAAATCAAATTTTTGTAAGGATCTTTCATTCTCAGTGTCTGGATGCAGTTTATTGGCAAAGAAAAAGAAATTGAGGTGGCAGCCCTTTGTGATGCCAGATAGGATGAAACCCTGTCACAGGGATGGTGCTAGATTTGTATTTTATAATTAATATATAATTAATGCATAAAAGACCATAAATATTGTAGTGTGTGCATATAAGGGATGTAGGAAGAACGCATTGATCATGAAGACAGAAAAAGAATAGCTGCATGAATAGGAATGCGTAGAATTTGAAGTGTTTGCCTTTAAAAATGGAATTTGTTAAATGTTTACCACGTTCCATTTTAATATTAAAAATACTGAGTAACTTTTCTCTTATTTCTAACAGACTCTAAAGGCAGATCCAGAAGAACTGTTTACAAAACTGGAGAAAATTGGTAAGGGCTCTTTTGGTGAAGTTTTTAAAGGAATTGACAACCGGACTCAGAAAGTGGTTGCTATAAAAATTATTGACCTAGAAGAAGCAGAAGATGAAATAGAAGACATCCAACAAGAAATCACAGTGCTGAGTCAGTGTGACAGTCCATATGTAACTAAATATTATGGATCCTATTTAAAGGTAAGATGCTCGCAGGTGATGGTGATTTGATTCTATAAGTAATTCTTTTCCAAGTTATCCAATCATGTCTGTTCTCATTGGCAACGTTTCAGTCAAACCTCGGTTTTTGTCCTGTCAATTCTAAGAAAGAAAGAGTTACTATATTTTGTGAAGTATGTGACAAACTTAATAGAAGAAAAAGGCATGTGTCTATTGCTATTTCTGTATAAAAATAAATTAACTTATATCGATTTGTTATGCTCTAAGTAATATGTTTAGATTCTCTTAATATTAGGAAAATGTATCTAACTTGTTTAAATTCAGAAAATATAACCTAAGTCTGCATTTGAATTGTTGAAATAGTAAAAACAATGTAGTATCAGCTGTTTTGTGAAGCTTGAAAGTTTGTCAGGGTTTGATTAGTGGCAAAACTTAGGTTGCTTTTCAAAGGAGACTGAACCTAGCCTTGATCTGAGTGATTTTTAAACATTAAAATCTAAAAGTTAATTTATTTGCACATTAGCAAACAGCTCATTAGCCGTAAGTGAGGCTAATGAAAGGGGTTTCCATTAACTGCCTTCTTGAATCTGCTTCCCTTCCCTCCTCCTGCCATCTTGATTTCAGGGTTTAGTTTTAAGTATGCCAGATATAGGGTTTGGATTTTTTTTCTCGATTGGTTGGGTATAGTGATTTGTTACCTCTAGAAGGTAGTCACAATATCTGGGTGGTGCTACTTTATTTCTTTGGTCAGACTTTGTCCCAGTCAGGATAGCTCTTTCTTTTATGACAGTGAGATAGCACTCTAGATAAGAGATTGTTCTCTTGACAGGGTTTGAACTTACAAGTAGGCAGAAAATACTTTAAAATTAATTTTCAGTCTGCTTTTGTGGAAGCATTTTATTTATCAGCAAAGATGAAGATTCTGAAAGGGGGACCCCATTTTATCTCTGGATTTCTGAGATTGCCAGTTAGTTTCTGAGGAAAAAAGGACTTTTTCTGAATCCAGATGTGTTACTGACAGGACAGACAGTTATTCCTTCCTTTCTTGTGCTCTGAACCAGTTTGCTTGGAGAGCTTATAGTTGAAGGCTTTGTGAGTGGTTTAAGACTTGATAACCTGTCACCAGTGAACTTAGAAGTTATGTATAGTTTAGATCTCAGAAACATTAGGAGGCACATAATTGAGCACAGTAAATTGGATAAATTTTTTCATCGTGGCTTTTATTACTACTTTTGAAATTTCTCGGACTCTGTTTGGTAGTTAAGTGAAATATGGCAAAAAAGCAAAAGTGGTATTTCTCACCTGGACTATCTCTCTGCTTCAGATCTGTTCATTTTAGAGGAGGAATAGTAAGATCTTACAGGATAAGTGAAATAGACTACAAGAAAAATAGAAGTTTGATGGGAATGCCACTTAATAGTTTTTAAAAGGCATAAAAGCAATGTGGCTGAAAAAGAGAATCCAGTGCCCAAATTTGAACTGACTGAATGTCAACATTTTGTGAAGATAGTATGGCAGCTATTGCTTTTCCTAATTAAAGGAGAGAGGAGACTCTAGGGCTTGATAGCCTGAATGGGCTTGGCTGGATGGAAGTGTCATTAGTGATATTTGTGCTTACTCTTGTGAGGAGGTCCCTCTGAAAATACTTGTACCTTCCACATCCCTTCTGTCCGGTGCAGTAGCCTGTGAATTTTCCAAGTTGTGTCGATTTTCTAAGATACTGCACTAACAGTGCTTATGTATGACTGTTACTTTTGAAGGAAAGTACAGTTCTTTCTACAGATAGAGTGTACAGCTACTCATGTTCATTCGTTACTTCAGTTCTTTGTGAATATATGTTGTTCTGCAAGACACTTGGTACTGCAGAACTTTTGGTCTTCAAGACAAGAAACTAATTTCTTTATGCTCCTAAAAATGAATATGTGGTGTTTATTAGGTAATGCTGAAGTGACAGAATCTTTGCAAAGGAAACATTTTGCAGTTCTATTAGCTTTCTAAACTAAGAGTCAGGTCTTGTTATTAGATAGTAATAATGTGTTATCCTATGTATATATAAATACACACACACACATATAGATATACTTAAAAAGGATCATATTATTGTTTAAAGGAGATGGTTAATATTCCTGGCTAGGAATCTAGGTGTATTTCCTGCAGATGTGTGTTGTATTGGCAAGTCAGGACTGCCATATGTAGTTCTAAGGGTCTGACTGTCTTTTAACTCTACTTCTGACAATGTGATAAACCATCACCACGAGTGTTCAGCACATTAATTTTCCGTGTCTTGAGTGATTAGGAGACATTATTTCTTCCATGATTGGACAGTTTAGCACTAATTATGAGAAACATATTAATGTCTTCTCACAGAATTAACTTCTTGAAAGTAAGTGGGTAGGAAAATGATAGGTTATATTGCCAGGTGCTGCAGTGACTAGTATTCTGAAGTCTATGTAGTGTAATGTGTGCTGACCATGTGTCTGGTGGACCTTGGATAGGAAGAGGTACTGTTTATAGAGAACTCTTAAACTGATGTTCTATAAATGATTTTTATCAGACAGCAATTCCAATAACAATTTCAATCTCATTTTTTTCCTTCTGGCTCTAGATCAGTCTTCATTTCTTAGGTTTCTTGTATATCCTTTTGTGAGCAGAAGAGATGTCTTTCATTATGTAATAACTTTTTTCCTAAGCACCCCCATGTCAGTTGTTAAGTAGGAGTAAGCAACTTTTACGAGAACTTTTTGATATTTATTTTGTTTATAACAAGTTTCAAGGTACTGAAAAAGAAAAATTTCTGTCCTATCTGGGACACTGCAGACCTGATGATTAATATTTCATGTCCATTTCTAGAACAAGTTTATGTAACTGTAGAATAGCTGCTCTGACATCCTTTAAAATATTTGACAGATTTTAAGAGGCATTCTGTATTTTCAGCAAAGGTGGTTGATGGGCATTGCCATGAAGACTTCTGTGTTTTTGAAGATTCTCTAGGTAGTCGGAATGTTTTGGGGTTGCTTGTTTTGTTTTATTTTGGTGTGTTTTGATTTTTTGTTTTTTTTTTAAACATCTGAATCATCTGTCTTTGAAAAATCCTTGTATAGTTCTTCATTCTCTGTTATTCCACACCTGCTTCAATTAAGCTACATGATTGTACCAGCCAGTGTGTTAAGGCACCTGTTGCTTGAAATTTTAGAAGGTGTATATAATACTGCTGTACTTGCCTGAGGCCTCTTACTGTCTTCAGATGATGTTTGTGAGAATAGCCTGTCAAGCGCTTGGTGTCTACTGCATGATATACGTGGAAGTACAACTTAAAATTAGTATTATCATTTAATAAGTTAAAGACAGTTACTTTGTGCTGGAAAATTGTTATTAGACTTTTTTGTAAATTAATTTTTAGCTACTTTTTAGAGTAGGGTGATATACCCAAATGTCTTGTTAAATTTCCTTACTCTGTAATTTTTTTATATGCCAACTTCATCTTTTCAGAAGTGTGTTTGATTTATAGAAATTTCTGAGAGACTAAGCTATATCTGTTTGTGTGAGGTATTACTGCTTTAACACACTGAGTCTTAAATAAAAAGCAGCTTGTCAGTTATGTAGAGAAAGTCTTCTGTTCCCTCTAGACTTTGTTCTCTACGGCTGTTGTTGGAGGTTTGTGTGTAATTGCTGTGGTCAGAGTTCATTCAGATCGAGCAATAAGCTGTAATGAAGTGGGTACCAGTATAGGTTTTCATCCTGAATATAAATTAATATGCGCATCATCTTTTTATAATAAACCTAAAGGTCTTTATATAAAACAGAAACGAAAATACTTCTTTCTGAATCCAAATTTTTAAATTTGATGTCTTCATATTCCCGTTCTATTAGGACAAAGGGCTTTTATCTACTGTAGGAGATAGTAAGTAACTAGCATGTTGCTCTTAAAGCATATTCCAGTGAAATGGTTTATATGGGTGCATATATCTAGAGGGATTGCTGTTCCTTATCTGCCATGGTGTGTTAAAACCTGTATTAATGCTCCCTAATGAAGAAGGCTTAACAAAATAGTGACTGTGTTATCTCTGCTCAGGGAACCACATCTATCCTTGATGCCCTGCAAATGAAACCTTCATCTGTTCTGTCTATGATCTGATTAAATGCTCCATGGACAGAAGAAATATATTTATTTATAGATCCTTATAAAATTAATTCATGAAACATCTCTGGGTCTGTTTAATTCTTTAGATTTTAGGTGACAGCATGCACTACCTCCTTAGTAATGGAATAAGGATTATTTGTGTTTCTTGTCAGATTTATTTATTTATTTTCTTATAAAATTGTTTAAAGTTATTTACTGTCTCTTCTGAGTTTTGCCATACTGTAACTCTTCAAAAGTATTGCTATACTATTTATTCTAAAAGTTTTTCTATCTAGGAGCCTGTCACTTCTGCTTTTTGCATCTTACTCTGCTTTACCAGTTTTTCGAAAGTTTAGTTGGATTTGGTTCTACAGTTGTTTCTCTTGCCCTATTTAGGCCAAGATGTTAGGAATCTGTTTGATTTCCAAGATGCAGCTGCCTCTGTGATAATGTTTCTTCAGCTTTGTTAATAAATTTAATCACTGCTTTATTATAACTTCATATTTTTGATCCTGGATTATTATTTAGAAATATATGAGGAAATTAATTTGTCCTTAAATGGTTGAAGAATAAAGTTTGTTGGCTTTTTTGCATATATGTATATGTATGTCACTGAAAGATGAGGTTAACATATGTATATGGATAAAAATTGAGATCAATGTGTTTATGTATGTATACATTAAAAAGTCTTTAAATTGCCTGTCTTTGGCTTCTATACATGTGAATAAAATGGGTAGAGCAAATGATCACTGGGTAGTTTCAGCATCCAGTATAACTAGGTACTAGTGGTACTGAACTGGTGTTCAGCTGATCTTGTAGTATGTATTTTTAAAAACAGTACTGTCTCTAACTTCATGTTTCTCCATCCTTCAGAGATACCTTCTTTTGAACTCTTTAAACT